GCATACCTAGATGACCAAGTGGCAAGCTTACGGTTGGTTTATCGGACACATGTTAGACTTTGTTGGCAGATGGCAGAGGGACACTGGCAGACAGTTTGGACTCGATGGACTTTAAGGAATAAGATTTTCTTTTCCACTAGACACCTGGAACTAAGCAACCATGAGGATCCTTGTGCAAGATCTTAGAAGCCAGAGAGGAACAGATTTTAAGTATTTAAGAAAAGCATCAGGGAACAAGAAAGCAGAAAAACACATTATTACGATAAAACATAATGTAGAATGGTTATCAAAACTGACTTGATATAACCACTGACCTCTTGGCCTAATTACATAATTAATATTAACAACATTGGCCACAAATGCTGACTTTCCGTCTTTTAAGTCAGGAGCGAAGAAATTCCAGCCTGTAGGTCACATATGGCCCGAGAAATCATTCGGTCTAGTTCTAGGAATTTATAAAGCTGTTGCTACCAATACTATCTACTAGTGCATACCCCAACAAAGAGTGATAGGTCCAGCTATCAAATTGGTGAACTTTACTCTGTATTTACCACCCTGCTGAGGTGTAGGACTGGGGGGTGCGGTTGGAAAGAAGGGGGGGGGGGGGGTTGTGTAAATGTGAGGATTTAAGGCCGCATGGCTAGTGCAGTCACTATGAGCTGTACAGGTTAGGATTTGTATTTCTGTCATTTCCACATTAAGAGTCAGTATATTAAATATTTGACCAAATACAGAAGGCCAATTGTTCAATTATACTTTGATTCACCCACAGATGTTAGAATAAATATTTAAATAGTTTCTAGCAGACAAAAGGGTTTTGACCTTTGCTTCAAGTGTTATAAAACACAAACACACACATATATGTATACAACACAGATGCAACTTGTTGAATCAATTAAGTTCCCTGTGTGGGTTCCGGGACTCCACAGTGAGGAAAACCAGAATAGATGCTCTGCCTACCCAAAAGCATGCTGTAAGAGTTGATTAACTGGGAGCTTCCTATGAAGTCAGAGAACATCTGCCTGAGAGGCAAGAAAATAAAAGTCTGCATACAAATAAGGCAGATCTGTTAAATGAATGTGCATTCAATACTCAGGTTCTGGAATAAGACCAAAGTCCAGAGGTGGACAAACAGCCAGGACTTTCTGCCCAAGTTTTCAGCCGGTAAACGTGAAGAAAAAAAAGAAATATTTGACCAAATATAGCAAGCACATTGTTCAGTTGACCCTTCTGAATTACCCATAGATGCTGTTGAAAATATCCTAACGCCCCCCTTAGCAGACAAAAGGTTCCTGACACTTTCTTGAAGTGTTACAACCCCCCCTCTCCCCTCCCCCCCCCTCCCCACACACACACACCCACACATGTGCAAACAAATGGTTGAATCAATTAAGCTGGGGCTAAAACATGAAAAAAAAAAACCATGCCAAATTGTTCTATTAGCTAACTGAATCAATTCTAAATTAACTTTGTAAACATCAACAACAAAAACCATAAAATAAATTATCATTAAACAACAAACCGTTAATAAAACAAACCTGCCAACGAAGCAAACATTAATTCAACAAGCTTGTTAACCAACCAGAGAATAAACACATTTGCCAACCAAATAATAATCAATTGAACAAATTACCTTCAAATGCACCAGCCAAGTCAGCATCAACACATACAAACTGTCAACCAAAAACATAATGTAATAAACCTACCAGCCAATACAAGCACAATGCTACTGGTACCTTCAGAAATGAGAGCTGGCTGCTGAAGATGGGGATGAAGAACTTATGGAAATGTCCAGAGTGCTATGATGCCGTTTGCTTAACTCAGCTCAACTAACAACCATCATCATCATCTTAATTGTGTGCTTTTATAAGCCACACAAGGCTTGCAGGCGAGTCCTTCATTCTTTTCTATCTTGTGCAACTATTTCCATTTCAGGGACAAAATCTTGTCTAGCACCTCTTGCCGTCATCATCAGTGTTCACCTTAGGGTTTCTCATGGACGTCCTAGCATCCTTAGCTCACTTGTTTCTCATTTAAGTGCCTGTTTGGTGGTTCTCTGTTGGCTTCTCCCTAGCATGTGCCTAATGTGTGCTCTTTATTCTGTAACTGCTGACACTAGTTGTTGTCTAGACATAAAGAAGCTGTCAGCAAATCATTTATACACTTAATATGTAAAACATTTCAATGAAACAAAACACACACAAAATCAATGGAAGCAAAAATAAACAATACAGTATTCTTATCACAGATGTAAAATATGCCCCTCACCAAAAACACCACACACAAAAATCAATAAAAACTTAGCAAAACATAGAATACCCTCAAATATTTTGTTTCACTTTTTCAGTCCCAAAGAAAACATATGTTCACAGGTGTTTACCTAGATGCTCAGTGAACATGCTAAACCCCATGGGACTGAAAGAGTTAAGTTTAAAACTGATAGGATCGACTTCACTGGACTCGGTTTTATCCCATATGGCTGAGTCACTCTCTGCAACATGGCCAACATCCTCCCAAGAGTGCCAAACAAAGCATGAGTTTCATAGACTTCCAGGAAAATATCCCTTGTGAACTAAACGAGCTCATGAAACAAACCCACAACCTTCAGAGAGCAAGGGAAATTAAATTACTTAACCACTTAGTCACAGAGAGCCCCCCCCCTCCTTTCCACACACACATATACACTAGGAAATTCAAAGTGAATTGCCCCATCTTTACAAGAAAGTTTCACCACAGTGTACCAATTGCTGTCATTAGGAATATCGTGTGGTGAAAGAAGTTTTTCCAGACCTCCGGGACGACCCAGGGTGCGCTGGGAAGACAACAACATCCGACAGTCCCTAACTGACAGAGGACTGGAATGGAACAAAGCCAGAAAGAAAACTGCGGATAGAGACGTCTGGCGATCTCTCTGGCAAACCTCTACACCCCAAGGTAGAAGAGGAGCGACTAAGTAAGTAAAAGAAAGAAGTTTTTCCAATAAACTGCCCAATTCAATAGAAACTGAACAGAGCTCTAGAAGTCTTACATTCAATGTCCAAGAAGACAGGTTTCAACAGCAATCTCAACACCACTGAATGTCTCTTCTTTTTCTTACATATTCAGTCATCAACTTGGATATATTATAAAAAATACAGCAGTTATTTATTCTGAGAATGTTGACATGTCCATAGTTTGTCTTCAGATGTTGCTGGTATGGGCAAAATGCTGGACATCCATCAATCAACCAGGTGTTGTCTCCACAGAGAATGTTGACTGCAATGGATCTTTAACATGCTCTCTCTCACATCGGTTGTACACTCTCTCAAACTGCTGTTTGTCGCTCTATTGATGTTGTCCTCCCATTTGTATCGCTGGCTACCTTTGCCCTCTTGCCTTAAACTTTCTCCTCCAGTATGGTTTTTAGAAAATCATTATGTCTTTTAATGCGGCTGATTATCTTCACTTGTCTCTCTTTTTAAAAATGTCTTCTAACAAATCTCTTTCTATTCCCAGTATCTCTAGCTAGAACTTGTATATTTGATTGTCTTACATTGTTGTGCTTGCATTTAAATATTTGTAAACAATAACGTTGGAGAAAATACCCTTTGGTCTTCCATTTTTAGGTAAATAGGCAAAAAAAAAGACTCAGTTGGTGGAACGATTGGCCAGATGTGTCAAGAGTTTATGTAATAATCAACAGCCTTCAGCAGTGAAGCATTGTTCATATGTGAAAAAGGAAGTAAGATGAGGACAAATATTTTGAATATATAATTTGGCACTTACACAACAAGGATAAAAATAGTAGGTTACAGCATCATTAGGAAAACAACAACACTGAATATACACAATAGAGGAGAAATCTGTAAACAAGTATTTTCAATGATTTATAATGTGGAATTATTTGACACTGTGGCCAGATCTGCTGATTAAACTCAAAGAACCAGTTGCCAGGTAATAAGTGCAAAGTGACTGCTAAATTTTCTTTTTCATCAACATATGCACACTTCAGGTGTGAAAAAAAAAATCCCACTGCTCCCTAACTGGCATTTCATAAAAATTGACTAATCAGGGAGTTTGTTGAAACTGGACGTGTTGGACCTAAAGACCAGATAGCACAGCCGAGCTGTAAACCACAGCACAATGTCCAATAGCCCTCTTTAGGGTCAATTCAGAAGAATAATTTATACACACTGACACAAATGAGTGGGAAAACAGTTCTGTAAGTTTTCATGCACACAGTATATTTTGTAAGTTATTTTTGAATAGCTACTATTTAAACATTTTTTATTCAGAGATTATTTACTATCAGTTCTAATATATATATATATATATATATATATATATATATATATATATATATATATATATATATATATATATATATATATATATATATATATATATATATATATATATTAAATATATTTAAATACACACACACACATATATATATATATATATACATACCAATCAATAACAACATGAATATAACACTTCCATAGATACATTACTTTGCACTGTATATGTGATTCATGTTAATATTGCTGCATTTTAAATGTGTCAGGAATATCTAGGGGGAATTCCCCTTATGCAGATTTAATTTACTATAGTAGGTCACTATTTAAATTTAACAACTAATTCCACTGAACTGTAATCAAAATCAAAATTAGTAACTGTTTTTATTTTTTTTTTGTTAATAGCTTATTATTTGTAAGTTTGGTACTTGCAGTTAAAACATTGACCTAGGTTCAATCTCCACGTACAAAAAAAATTCTGATGGAGTGCTGACAAAAGTTAATTATATCCACAATATTAACCACACTGATGCAATACATAGTTACACATAAAATGTTAAAACATTTAACCATAGGAAATGAAACAATTTCTAAGAAATATTAGTCATAATGACTGAATTCCAATTACAAGCCTCAAATACTGGCTCTCTAACCTTCTTTCAAAGAGTTACAGTAATACCTTTCTGGGACAAAGCTAAAGAAAGCCTGACACTTCTGCCACCTTTACTGGGTCTCCGGGTCTTCATTATAAGAACGGTAACCCATGGGAATCTGTGCCCAGTCCTGCACCTTGCCTTCAGCAAGTATACCGTACACTATGGTCCCAACTGCATAGATACAGGCTGTCAGGTAGAAAACAATCTGCCAGTCATTCGGGGAATCCTGTAGAATAAACAGGATTTGTTTCTTTGGTCATGTCATCAAAAGGGGAGGACTGAAGTACATAGTGACAAAAGGGAAAATCAGAGGAGAAGAGAGAGGAAGAGAAGCACAGGGGAAGAAAATCAGAGGGTAAGAATAGCACAAAAGAAGAGAATCATGGAGGAAAAGAAACAGAGAGGAAGACAAGAACAGGGGAAGAAAATCAAAGGAGAAGAGAAGCAGAGGGCCAGTTTGGCATTGGGTTTTATAATGCAAGACTATAGCTTTATAAAGCAACTGAATCTTGATGGGTGATATGGTCAACATCCTGTGGCCACCTTTACTTCCCAGGACATTAGCTGGTATGCCTTTTAGGCTGAGTCGACATGGGAGCAAAGGTCAATTTTCAGGAAAAAACCTCCTGGATGCGGATTTGAACCACAGACCTTCACACCAACAAATGAATGTCTAGCTGCTAAGCAACCATGGCTCCAGGTGAGGATACAGAAATGCTTATACCAGTAGCACAGGCAGTTGAGGTAGCACAGCAACCAGAATACTTACACTTGTTAAAATCTCCACTGAGATGATGATCTAGTTCCAGGGCCAGTCTAGCCTAAAATGGGACACAGGAAATATTCTGGGAAGCAAAAGTTTCTGCCATGATACTGACCAGATGACCGATCTAGTGTAGATTAATCTATAACTGAGGGACTGGTGCCATTTCTACAGCAAACCTCAGGGTGTGGCTGAAATCACAATACAGTGTCATGTAGGTGAAGGTGAAATCGCCACACAGTGTCATGTAGGTGAGGGTGGAATCGCCACAAGGTGTAGGTGTCAGTGGAATCACCACAGTGTAGGCATAGGTTGAATCACCACAGTGAATGCATGGGTGGAATCGCCACACAGAATAGGTGTGGGTGGAATCACCACAGGAATTAAAGGTGCGATTGAGTGCTTTAGTGGTATCAACAGTTTAAGCCCTGAGAAGAAACGGACACAGAATCACCAGTTAGACATGGGCCAAACACCCAAAAGGCCCATGTGGATGGTATGCAAGTTAAGCACTTCTAGTAGTTGGACATTCAATGGAGAAGGCAGAATAGATTTCTACCCAAATTTAGAAAACCTACTCTCAGACAATTACATATGAATCAATCAGGTGTCATCTTTACAGTGAAGGTTGGTTACAATGGATTTCCTCTTCAACACTCTCTGTCTTTCATCCTGGAATGTCTATGTTTAATTTGTCTACACACACATTTGGAATCTTGCAGATGTCTGATGTCAAGGATTTCAAGCAACTGTGCTGAGATTTTGTGTGATCTGTGGGAGGAGATGGAGCACTTATAGGACACAAATAGAGAACATCTGAGAAGAATATATCTAGAAAGGCTTTACACTGGAAACACATGAACACATGGAGAAGGGAGCTAGCGGGTGAAGTGAAACAGATGGGCTCGACACTGAAGGGTGAGTTGTGGATGGGAATTGTGTGCGATAGAAAAAAATAGGATGTTTTGCAGTGAGTTTGTTGAGAGCCTATGCTCAATTGAGGATAAAAGGCAGAAGAAGAAGAAGGAAGAAGCACTTAAGGAGGTCTCTTCAAAAAACACAGCGAAGATCAAAACTTATTTCAATATCTAGGCACTATAGTTAGTGGAGCTTTCAGCAAAAGTCAAAAGGAGGATGGTCATAGCAATGCAAATATTAAATAGCATTACAAGCCTATGGTCAAGGACCAGCAAGGAAACCAAAGTAAATTTTGACAGCATGCATCTTCCCTAAACATCTCACACAATGGCAGCTTATCTTGTATACTCATTATTTTGGCCACATCAAGTGCCACTTCGGACTGGAAAAAATGTAATAGCAGAAGACATGGTACCAGAAAAGAGTTGGAGGGCCTGACCAGCACAAAGAAGGGCATAGGATATAAGTGACACCTTGGGCAGAATAGTAGAGCAGGAGAGCTGGCGAGAGACTGAGTTTCTTTCAGGCAGCAATTCTGCAAAGGTTCCTGCTACATGACGATGATGTATTAAATATAGCCATGGTGGCTTAACCAACAAACACACTTGGTCATATACAAATACATCACCAGATTTCTCTAATACAGTCTAACTGAATACAAGAAGTACAATCACTTATGGCATGTTAGTTAGAACATGATGTAGTTAATACAAGCAAAACATCACTTTAATCACATCAGTGATATGGACCAGAAATGCCAACAACATTGCTGTAATCTGATAAAGACATGGACATCAGAAATGACAACACCAGTACTCTAACCTGATCAGTGACAATGACACTTGTCAACCCAGGGCTGATGATGCCTGGAAGGGTGGCAAAGGTGTTGGACAACCCCATCAAAATGCTGGCAAACTGTGGAGCAATGTCCAGGTGGTTGACGCTGAACCCGGCCCAGGCAAACCCGCCGATCCCAACAGCAACCGTCAGACAGATGACCGCTGCAGCGCGGGTCATGACATACCCCGCGGCAACCATGAAGATGGCTTGGATGGCAAATGCTGGATGTGGAAATTCATAACAGTTACTGCTTACTGATTTAAGAACTGATATCATAATATGAGATCAAGTTACAAGTCTATCATATCTTGGACATGTAATTATAGAAGATGGCAGAAGTGAAATGGAAGTCAAAAAGAGGGAGAATATTGTCAACAGCATGTGACAAGTAGCTAGAGAGATAAACATCACATTAACAATGAGAATTGTCAAATTGTTTGTATACTCAATCCTGCTGTATTATTGTCACAGACCTGGAAAATGAACAAGCAAATAGAAAATCATATTAAGTATGTACAGATGTAGATATACAGAAGAATAGATCATATTTCATGGTAACAAACGGCAAAATATAGATGTTCTAAAGAGACTAGAAATGAAAAGAAAGTTGCTGAAAGAGAAAAAAAAATAATTAAATTGTTTCGGGCATATTAAAAAAAAATTAACACTCTTATAAAAACCGCACTGGAGGGAAATATTGAAGGCAAGCAAGCAAGGAGCAGACAGCAATACAAGTGGGAGGATGTCATGAAGAGATGGAAAAACAGAAGTCTGAGACAGTATAAATTCAGAATGAGACACAGAGCATGCTGGAGTTCCATTGCAGCCTAACATCACAGTGGAGGCAGCATCTGACTGACTGACTGATCCTAATATGTTCGGCATATCCATATATGCTCTATCTCCTGGCTGATCCTGATATGTTGGGCATATCCATATACGCTCTATCTCCTGGCTGATCCTGATTTGTTGGGCATATCTATATATGCTCTATCTCCTGGCTGATCCTGATATGTTGGACATATCCATATATGCTCTATCTCCTGGCTGATCCTGATATGTTGGGCATATCTATATATGCTCTATCACCTGGCTGATCCTGATATGTTGGGCATATCTATATATGCTCTATCTCCTGGCTGATCCTGATTTTTTGGGCATATCTATATACTCTCTATCTCCTGGCTGATCCTGATATGTTGGGCATATCCATATATGCTCTATCTCCTGGCTGATCCTGATTTTTTGGGCATATCCATATACGCTCTATCTCCTGGCTGATCCTGATTTTTTGGGCATATCTATATATGCTCTATCTCCTGGCTGATCCTGATATGTTGGACATATCTATATATGCTCTATCTCCTGACTGATCCTGATTTTTTGGGCATATCTATATACGCTCTATCTCCTGGCTGATCCTGATATGTTGGGCATATCCATATATGCTGTATCTCCTGGCTGATCCACATATGTTGGGCACACCCATATATGCTCTATCTCCTGGCTGATCCTGATATGTTGGGCACACCCATATATGCTCTATCTCCTGGCTGATCCTGATATGTTGGGCACACCCATATATGCTCTATCTCCTGGCTGATCCTCATATGTTGGGCACACCCATTATTGCTCTATCTCCTGGCTGATCCTGATATGTTGGACATATCCATATACGCTCTATCTCCTGGCTGATCCTGATATGTTGGACATATCTATATATGCTCTATCTCCTGGCTGATCCTGATGTGTTGGACATATCTATATATGCTCTATCTCCTGGCTGATCCTGAAATGTTGGGCATATCTATATATGCTCTATCTCCTGGCTGATCCTGATATGTTGGACATATCTATATATGCTCTATCTCCTGGCTGATCCTGATATGTTGGGCATATCTATATATGCTCTATCACCTGGCTGATCCTGATATGTTGGGCATATCTATATATGCTCTATCTCCCACAGAACATGTCAAGGAGTTGATACTGCCTGTTCTGGTAGCACACTGGTTGTACTCAAGCAGTAGTCTTCCTTCCATATGTCCCGTCTTGCCGAATCCACACTCAGTTTAAAAGTCATTCACTCTCTCACACTTTTGAATAGATGTAGACAAAATACACACATGCATGTACATAAACACATGCATGTACATATACAAACACATGCCATGAATACTTCTGAGAGACCGACAAAGCGCATATCAAACCTCTTAAAAAATAGCTTATGTATCTGTTCACACTGTAAACGTCTATGCTGGCATCATCTTTGCATACCCAATGGGGTAGTCTCAGAGGTTAAAACTACAAGCAAAAGAACTAAATACATACCACCACATGTAAAGATTTTGCGAACGACTATAGTAGGTACACCGAATGAAGCACGGAGAACATCAGCAAAATAGCCTCCCATGAAAACCACAATCCCCATGATGAGATACGGCAGTGCTGAGAGAAAACCACCCTGAAATAAAACATGGGTGACTATTTTATTAATATCATGATGTAATACAACAACCTTGCGCAGAAAACATGAATATAAATATGAGGGTAAATCATAAGTAAGTCACAAATGGTTATGGGATAACAGGATAATGTAGTTGGTGGTTCCTAAAGGTGTCATTAGATGACAGCAACATCAAACTTTATGTCTCCATTCATTAGGTGGCGTTAGGTGTTGCATGTGCATTCACAACACAGAAACAAATTGGTGATTGTACTTATTGAGTGTACCCTGTGTGTTTTTTATTTTAGTGCTGGGTTCAAAACCTAGTGAAGGCTAGGATTTTTTTTTACGTGGACTTCTAGTAATTTTCCCTGGTCTCTGGGTAGTAAGACCTGACGTCCGTGTGTACTGTTGCCTCATAAAAAAAATCACTTGGCAGTTGGAAATTGAAAAAAGAGTAGCCTAGCGATGCTGCCCGGGCAAAATTTGGAGTAAAAAATCTACCCAAAGTATTTCAGGATCCTCGCCAGTGCAATGGAGTTCAAGCACTGTGCTGATATTCTTTGACTGAAGCTTGAGTTAGAAGTAGAAAGGAGCACTTATGGGTTACACCCGTGTGCCATGATGTTGATCGGTTTAATGAACAAACAATAAACAATAGGTCTTGGGTGATGTGGTCAGCATCCTGCTGGCTGCCTTCACTTCCCAGGACTTCGTTGTTGTTGTTATTATCGATCCAGCGGATCTTTTATCAGTGTCTGTCTAACCTCAGGTTAATATTCCCAGAACTTTACCTGGTACCCATTTAAGACTGGGTTGACCTGAGAGCCAAAGTTGAAACAAGGCCGGCTCCATCAGGACTGAATCCATGACCTTTGAATGCACAGGCGAGTATCTAGCCGCTACACTACAGCGGCTCCAAAGAGCAATTTGCACATGATAAAAAGGCTCCACATGATAAAATACCTGAATATCACAATTGTCATCCTGTAGCAGGTCCTTTGTAGAATGTTGCTGTTAGAAAGCCACACAACCCTTGCTTACTTTCTCACATCATCAACTTTCATGTGCTGACCCAGCATCTTCTTCTAGGATCCATACCCTCCATTGCTGATGCCTTCAAACTGGCCGAAGTTTTCATTTGACAAGAAACAGGATTGTCTATAAATCTGTCTGTCTAGAAATTCAAATTCTGAAAAATGTCAGTATTTTTGCTCTTTTAAGTACATGATTGTCTTCCAGTAACATTTGACTTCAAAAGCTCTGATTCTTGGTTTAGTAATTATGAAACAGCCCTGGAATATTATTTTGTATGTTGTCAGGATTGACAGAATTTACAACAGTACATACTGAAGCTAAAAATTTGAATTTTCAACTGAAATACCCAAACTGCACTATCTCTTTTTTCACTCACCAAGGGAAGTCAAGGATTAACCACATGATCACCATGAAAGTCTAAGATTAACCCCCATCATCTATGAGTTGTCCTCATTCTTTCACCTTACATTTGATGTGGCACATACCTCATTCATGTGAAACTTGAGCACGTGAGTCATGAAGGTTGGCAGTTCTGTAAGCCAGGTGTAGAAGCCCCAGTTTTCCACAAAATGAGCCACAGCAATGGCCCACACTGGAGCTGACTTCAACATCTGCAGCAATGGTGGATGGATGCGCTAAAAAAAAAAGTTATATAAGAGAATGAGAAAAACATCAACATTATCATTGTGACGGGCGTATGCTTGAGCTACAGTGTGACGTGCTGTAAAGGCTGCATGGTGATGTGCGGCGTACCAAAATGACTAGGGGTGTCGCAATGTAACAAATGGCATCAACACTTAACATGCCACTGGCCAAGAGTAACACAACATGATGAATGTTGAAGCTTCCAAACATAGTGGAACGAGAACTCTTTTTAAAGGTTCCATTTGTGTATTGACAATAACGATGATCAACACAAGGAAAAATATGAAATCAATAATCCAGACTCATTCAAGCACATCAACAAAAGCCCGCTCGTACATCCATGGACTGATATGTCCTCACGATAGGTCGCAGTCCGACCTTGAGATCCAGACAGTAATCTGAATTAAGTAATGAAGGTATACCGGCTTACTGCCGAACTGTGTCAATATACCAGCTTTTTGCTGAGGTCTATATTGGATTCCCGGAGTAAAACGTCCTCAAGGATCCAACTGTATACAACGTCTGCTTCCGTGGGATCCCAGGGTAAAGCGTCCTCAAGGATCCACACGTCCGTCTCCTTCGGACTGTAAACATCAACTCCTACCATGGCATCCCGGGGTAAAGCATCCTCAAGGATCCAACTTGATTCTCATTCCTTCAGTGGCATCCCGGGGTACAGCATCCTCAAGGATCCAACTGATTAACATTCCTTCCGTGGCATCCCGGGGTAAAGCATCCTCAAGGATCCACACCAAGGCCGGACCACACGTCCGCCTTGGTCAAACTTCGACTTTCATCTCCTCGAATACAATTCCTTCACAACCTGACGTATTGTTTTGACGTCTTATGTGCTCACTCAGTACTGGTGCGTTCTGGTGCACATCCGCACGCGACAATCATGTACAATTTATACTTTTGCAACTTATCATCCTGGGGAGGCAGACAACCAATGGGTGGCACTGACCACTTTCCTAACATAAGGATGTCAATGTCTTATATGTCATCAATTCATCATCTCCTTGAGCACCCTTTTACTCCATTCCATTCTATGCCAACATGAGAAGGAGAAAATAATAGTCGACCATACTTAAACCAGCTGCAAGCAGCTTCAGTTATAACTGTGGCCTGGTTTCTCTGTGACAATTCTACTGGCTAAGATGTGATATTTGTATGTATGTAAGTTGCACCCCACCAGGACATCACACAAAACGACAAACACCCAGTGACACAAAGTGCCACCATGCGGATGAGGATCACCTGTGGAGAGGTCCTGGAAACCCCATTCAGCCATTAGGCCATATTTCAGATCCAGTTATATTTAGGGCCCCTGGCAAAAGCCAGGGTGGGGCTTTAAAATAGCTAAAAATTGCACCCCACAAGGGGATGATGAGATATATAATATGGAGTGTGATATTTGTCCCAATTTATTGCCTTAAATACCTTTTTACCCTTCAGATCTTTTCAGGTGTAGCACCTGTGTTGGTAGTTGTGGCTTTATTCTAAAGGTTTTACTATGGTGTGTGATCTTCTGCTTCTCAATGAACTCATTCGTTGTGTTGATAATCAAGTCTGTACACAAACTTCTATAAGGTGTACTAAGTAAATTTAGTTGCATATTGTTTCCCCAATATTTTCTGGCCGTTTATGATTTCACCAGGCAATTTTACGCTCAGCAGACTGCCCATGCTTTCTGAATGGTCAGTTCTGGATACCAACATCAAAATCAACACAAGGCTGTTTGCTGCCAAACTGCCCGCAGCTGGGGACACACCCAGAACTTCTGAATTATGTGATCACAACACCTAAGCCACCGATGCTGCCATAATGTGCATTGCCAAACATTTCTGACTTAAATGTTCTTCTATTCCATTATGCCAAATTGTCCAAAATAATTTCTCTTGGTCTTCCTTTCCAATCTATTTATATCAGTAAAGAAGATGGGGAAAGCTTATGTTACCTTTGTCTGTTCATCGGTGTATCCGATGGAGTTTTGAATGTAGTCGAGCTCAGCATTGGAGATGCCTGGATGGCCTGCAGGGCTTTCAGTGACCAAGATGACCCAGAGCAGAAACCAGATAACAGCCAAGGAACCTTCATGGAAGTTGAAAAAAAAAGAGGCACATTTTCAAATGACAATATTTATTCAGTTGAATCTCTAATGACATGCATTGGCAAAGCAAAAGCAACTTTTAAAAGCTTAAACAAAATATCATCATCATTAGCTGCCTTGCCGACCGGCGTGTGATCACTGTGGTAATCAGATGAGAAGACCACAGGTCTCCATAAGGTTGTGGTGTGAAGCATGTCCTCTACTGAGCCACACAGCTTGGTTTCCACCAGAACTGACCAGACCAGATCTCTCTATTGCATGTAGAGAGCCTGTCTGTAGCACATATTCAGTTTGCTGGGGGTGCACACAGACAAAGACTGAGTCCCGAATCTTTAATTTTCAGTTCACAATCTAAATACAATGTTTGCTTCCATTTGAGATTGACTGGCTCTTCGGGATTACATTCTGGATGGGAGGGTTCCACTAGGGTTCTAATGGCTGCCCGCATCTGGGTTTTAATTTCTTTACAAGTGCATCCTGAATGAGGATTGAACTTTTACAAAAACCACAAGAGAGTTACTGTCATTAACTGGTGGTCATTGGTTAAAATTATCACCCAGGCAGAGGATTAACACTGATCTGGACTCCAGGCCATCCAAGCCAAAAATAGGTATAAGGAAATGTTCTGAGGAACAGAGGCAGCCACATCACTCAGATGGTCCAAAAACAGGTGCTAGCACCATATGCCCAAGGGAACCATGGTGACATAGCGGCTAGACTTGACACTCGGCTGCTAACCTGAAGGTCTTAGGTTTGAATTTGCAATGTGGAGGATTTGTTTTCAAAACTGAACTTTGCTCCGAGGGCGACCCAATTTTAAATGGCTACCAGCTTAATATCTGGGGAAGTAAAGGTGGCCAGCTTGATGATGACCAGATCACCCACTGACGACTGATTAGACTATACAAATATGAGTCTTATACCGATGTGCAACTGAAGTGAAAGAAAAGTCATCTACTTGACTTATCATAAATAGCCAATATGCTTCAAGGGTCAGAAGAGAAGAATAGCCTTCACTTGTGCTATCAAACGGAAACCAAGCGTTGCCTGCAAGTTCGTGTATTTCAGTTGGAAGAATTCATTTATTTGCTTCATCTTATTTAAATATGTTACTGTAGTATGCACCTGACAAAGTATCTAACTAAGCAAAGGACACTTTTACTGCAATCGCATATTTGATGATAGACTCATTTTTATAGGCAAATCGGCACTCGTTGTGTAATGTGATTAACATCACTCCCCCTCTTCCCCCCTTTTTTTTTTAACTTTCCAGCACACTACCTGGTGCCTAATTAAGGCTGGGTCGATCTGACAGCTAAGGTCAGTTCTGAAAATAAAAATCTGAACCCAAAACTTTCAGGCCAGCATGAAAGCGTCAAGCCGCTATTCTACCATCGTTCTCATGTACCTGATGAGACACAGTGGAATATGTCAAGCAAAGAACTGTGCAATCTGCTTATGTCTTCACTGTTTGAATTTATACAACAGGGAAACAGTGCTCTGAAATAAAACAAAAAGAATTCATCGGAAGGAAAAGAAATGAATAAAAGAGAACATACCAAACACATAAAAGATTGACTGCCATTCTGCTGAACTTTCTGCCAGTGATCCTGAGATGACCAGGGAGACTACTGTCCCAAAGTAGGAACCTGTTACAGAAAAACTGACATTGTTATATGTGCATGTGTGTATGTGTGTGTGTGGGCGTGCAGGAGTAGGCATGTTTGTGTGCGTGTGTGAGTACATATGTGATGGACTGGCTGCTGCCACTCCTCTGGATGGTGAGCTAATTTATGTTAAATGGATGTGGGAAGGGCTCTCTGGGATCAAGTAAACAGTGCAACATGACAGACAGAGTATCCATACCTCGAAAGACTGAATCTGTCAGGAGTAAGCAGAGTGTTTGGATGGTCTTCAACATGGATGGGGGAAAAAAGGGGGAGCGTTTAATCAGTTTTCAGCTTGCACTATTACTAAGGTCCGCTGGCTACCGAGCAAAGGGACAGCTCATATTTGGAAATGCCCTGAGTGCAGTGATGTCAATTCTTATTGCTTCATTTAAAAATTATTGATAACACATAAAGTACATGTCAGCTTTACAGCACCAATTACAACAGTCAAACAAAAGATTCTGCGATGATTAGCCTTCATCAGCAGAAAAATGATGGAAAACAAAACAGATAAAAATGAACTAAATCTGAAATCACTACTTTATGACATTCAAATACTATGTAAACAAATGAAACAAAATAACAATAAATGACATAATTTTATAAAGTTTGTGATATTTACTTGGACGGCTCTAAAAAAACCTTTTATTTTTAGAGTATGAGGTAAATGGCTGAAGCATTTCATCATAGAGACTTTATTCATATCGACTCCAAAGACACTTAACTCTTTCATTCTCTTAAAAAGTCAAAGCCTATAATTACAGACAGTTCCCCCATGTGGGTTCAGGGTGACATTTTTGTAAGGGAGTGGAGGGGAGGGAGGAGGGGGGATTAGACCCACTTCCTCCCAACCAAGCATGTTGTACAAGGCGACTAATTAGGGAAGTTTCCTTCGAAGTTGGAGTGTATCTGCCTGTGAGGCAAGTAACAACCATAGTCTGCATATAAATATGTATGTTGTTGTTGTTATTGATCCAGCGGCGCATGAGCTTTTGCCCTTTGACCCAGTGCCATGTAGTGGAATTTACATGTTTTCACAAGCTGTTCTTTTCCTCCGTACAAGGTGTTCAACCTGTTTGGTCTCGGAGGGAGTAGCATTCTTCTAGTCTCGTTGAGTTTTGGGCACTCAAAGAGATGATGGTCAACAGTATAAATATGTAAAATGGATGTGCATGAAAAACTCTTGCCCTGGAACAAGACCAAAGTCCAGAAATGGACAAACAACTATAACTTTCTGCCAGAGTTTATAGGCCAGTGAGTAGTAAGAAGAAAAGATTACTGAAAATAAAATGATGAACAAATCAACATGTATTTGTTAGCCCTCACAGAAAGAAATAGAGACCAAAGGACACACTACAGAATATAAAAATCGAAAGTTATAATTACCAAGCCAGGACTTGAAATTGTCATCACCACATGATGACAGTGCCTCACTGCAGTAACAAGTGTACAATGACTCATGACCAAACTGACACCCCTTAAAAATGAGTCATCATTGGCCAGGTGTATCAAACACCTGAACCAACATTTATGAATACTGACATAATTTGTAAAAAGTCACTGAAATAGCACTGTAGGTTGCAGAAATTTATATGATCCAAGCATAGACCTACTTGTCTCTATCAGTGCCAAACCATAGAAATTAATTTGTAAATCATATTATTTCTATTACTGCAAGGGTTCCTCAGCTATTTATTTTGGACTCCCCCCCCCCCCCCCCCCCCCCCCCCGAATACCATCATATAGACCAATTACACATCTTATTAAGAACAAATTCCTTGCCAGATTTCTACAGAAAACTCTGACAACATTTTTTAAATGACACATTATATGTTGATTGGTACACGGGTGAAAGAGCCAATCGAATATGGGAAGTAACATAGAACTGAAAACGCTTTCCTCAGATGCATACCTGAAAACCCAAATGTTGCCAACTTGGTTCTTTCTGCTGGTGGGGCCCATTTAGACCAGATGGCATGAATGGCTGGGTAGGTTACTCCCTGAGACAAATTACAAGGAACAAAGCATTATGTGAACAATATGCTTAAACCATCATCATCATCATCATCATCATAGTAAACTATTATAAATGTTGCCATTTGTTGTACAGTAAGGCTGAGTGCAGATAATATCTGACAGTGTGACTTTATACACTTAAACAAGATACAAATATTCCATACCTCAAATAACCCCTCAAAAACTCGGCAAGCAATCAGCATGTATGGGCTCCATGTGGTCAGCAGAGGGGTCAGAAGGGTCAAGAGTGCTGTAGCAAAGATTCCTATGCCAAAAAAATACTTTCCACCATAGCGGTTGGCCAGGAAACCTGATGGACGTGAAACACTGATGAGCAAACTGTTACAAAGAGGCTATGAGGCTATAAAAAAATATGTACACACACTTTTTTTTGGGCCTTTTCTGCCCTCTATTTCACCTCAAGAGACCATAGGCCCTCAATCAACAAGGTAAAGTTATCACATTCTATGCTATCATATGCGAATCAGCCTGTGCCCTCCCATCTTTTTCACTTCACTCTCTAATTCCTTCTTTTTTTAAAAATCTGTCTTTATTAATTTGACCCTGTGGATTCCAGTGTAAGGACATTATAGTTACATTATTATCAGGTTTTGTCAATGTGTGTCCTATCCAACACCAGCATATTTTCCTCACCTCGTGATTTACTGACATTTGCGTAGTTCTCCCAGAATGGTGATTACCATTTAATTCCCTCTATTCTGCACAGGCACCCTTTGTAGATACACACTTTAGCTGAGGTTATCTTTGGATTTTCTTTTCAGTTAGATCAAACTATTATAGCAATGTGTAGTATAATTCTCTCTCTACAGATGCCCCTACTTACATGTTACTCCACCTGCACTGTTGGCTCTTTGGAAAGAAACTGAACTGATATTTAACCAGTGAATATCAATATCACAGTGGCCACCTTTACTTCCCAGGAATTTTCCTGGTAGTCATTGTTGTAGGTTTGACTGACCTTGGAGCCCAGGTCAAATTTGGTTAAAATCCCCACAATATAAAAATTGTTGCTGTTAATTTATTGTCAGGCATTTAGAAAATCTTTGACCAGAGTCTGCATTTCTTGTATCCTCACTCCATGACTGGGAACCCAATCTTACACTTTTCATTTCCCCTGATCAGATTTTACCGCCTCCTGGCTCGCCCATAATAGGAATCCCTGTTTCTTTCCTGTGTACAATGTTGTCAGCAGTTCAGGCTTGTATCACATACTTTATATCATTCTGTTGTTTATTAATCTTATTTTGTTTAATGTGTTTTACAAATTTGTATACTATAATGTAGTCACTTTGGAGTCATTTTTGTGTTTTGTTTCTTGTCAGACTGAAGAAGGCTTATCTCTACAACTTGCCATGTTTGTTTATTTTAATGGTTCTGTAAAGCTAACACATAATTTTTTTTTTCCTCTCTCGTTTTTGTAAGGAGAATGATTTTTTTTTTAATAAGATAAGATCTAAAGATAAGATAAGATAAGAAGATCTAAAGATAAGTTCTAATGATAAGACCTAAACAAAAACTAACATGCTGAAAAGGCTACTAATAAATAAAAGAACAAGCAAAACTTTAAAAGCAGCTTACCACCAGGCAACTGTGTGACAATGTAGCCATAGAAGAAGCTAGCAAGTATTTGACCCTTCATGTATGCATTCCATTTAAAGTCTGGACCAGAATTCTGGGGATGAAAAGTGAAAAATGTATTAACATAAAAGTAAAATATCTTCTCTGAGTACATTTAGCAAACAGTAGAGTTTTCTGTCCACCTGTTAAAAAAAAAAAAGTGTTATTACTTGTTAAAAAATACATGCAAGGTTAATTAAAGCAGTCATGTGCAGGACAAAATGATTCCTTTCGTGAGCCCTGGATCAGAGTGTCATGTATCAGCTTTTCTTTTATGGAAGCCTCCTTGGAAAGTCGGTAATGCCCATGATCTGCTCCTGCCTTACCTTGATGGCCGACCTGTCTACACGCAGATGCCCTAGACGGGTTCTCCAGGGGCAACACCTATAGATGAGGGGACAAAGAGAACACCACATAAATAAAGCCACAACATGTTCCTATCCCATGAAACTATTGGGAGGTTAACCCTGGCAACAAATGCTCGATTCCTTGTGTGGGTTCCAGTGCCCATAGTGGCTGGAAAACAAGAATAGGCCCACTGCCTTCCCAACAATTATGTTGTAGAGTCAACTAACTGGGGAGCTTCCTTTGAAGCCAGAGTGCATCTTCCTGAGAGGCAAGGAACCAACAGTCTGCATACAAATTAGTCAAATCTGTAAAATGGATGTGCATGCAACATTTAGTTTCTGGACTAGGACTAAAGTCCAGAGATAGACGAACTTTCCAGAACTTTCCGCTGGAGATTACAGCTGGTGAACACAAAAAAGAAAGATAAGTACTCAATGAAGTCAGTCGTGTCAGCCGAAAGGCGCAAATATCGCAGCTTTGCTGTAATCTGGCACAAAGCATTTAGGTCACTTGGATGAACAAAATGAAGAATAAATATGTGGAGTGCCATGATGATAATCTAATTCATAACCCATAAAACACAACAACTGAAACAAACAATACTTACGTATACTGTGTCATTGAAACTGAAAGTTCTGTTGGTGGTCATTGCAACAAGTGCCACACTCAAGTTAACCCTCAATGAGTAGAGATTTGCTGTGAAAAATTACAAAGTGAGAGCATAAATCAAAGGTTTAAAAAATGCTAATAAAAAGGGTAGTTGGGTTTACAGCTAGGCTGCAACATCTGCACTTTTTGGTCCAGGTAATCAAATTTCAGCAGAACCTCAGTTACTCACCTTTTATGACATGCCTCTTAAGAGGCAGTAGGTCTATCCTTTAATTCCCCAAGTTAGACCCCCTGAAAATGTGAACACACAACAGCCCCAAGTTGTCGCATTCATGCTACGAGTCAGTTATCTAACTAAAAAAGACCTCAGATCATTCCCTGTATGGATTCTGCAGGCTCCATTTGGGGATTTGGAAAATATCTACCAAAGACAACCTTCAGGTAGACAGTTATAGAGAACTACATGGACTAATAGTAGATACATACAGGAGGTTTATATATATTCTTGCAAAGATGTATATATTCTTTCAAAATGAGTAAATTCTTATGTGATGATTATTTATATATTCTGTATTTTTAAATGACATAAGTATTTTTACATGATCTATGTATTCTTGCATGATGTATGTATTCTTACATGATGTGTGTTTTCTTACATGATGTGTGTATTCTTACATGATGTATGTATTTTTATACATGATGTATGTATTTTTATACATAATGTATGTGTTCTTACATGATGTACATTTTCTTACAAGATGTACTTATTCTTACAAGCTTTAAAGTCTTCCAGATTTTTTACATTCCTCCAGGCATATTTACTCTTAAAAGATGTATATATTCTTACAGGATGTAAATATTCTTATAGGATGTAAATATCCCTAAATTGTATTGTGTGTGTGTGCGTGTGTGTGTGTCTCACCACAAAAACAACCAAAAAGAAACAACTAAGATTGTCACTGCTACCTTTTACCATAGTTTGGCTTTCGTAAATGTGATAGATTAGTGAATTTATTAATATTAGGGTCATGTGAAAAACTCACACATACACAGGATAGATTAAGAAACACACACGTACATTAGATCTTTTCAAAAAGCATTTTACCTATGGCTAGGAGAAATTGTATTACAAACCTGAAGGTTTGAAACCCTATTCTCCTACAAACGGTCTCCATTGGACCACATATAGTTCTCCCAAAGGTCCTGTTATTGTCGGAAGAAGTTGAAGTTGAGGGGACCAACTTCACTGCACTGTGTTTTATCCCACATGGCTTAGTCTCTCTCCACAAGAAATGCTCAAGAGCATCACGCAAAGCACAAACTCCATAGCTTCAGTGATAATTCGCAGGGATCACCTTAAAAATTTGCTCATGAATTGAACAGCGCAGTCCATGAAAAGAACCCACCAACTTCAGAGCACAAAGCCCATGGCATGACGTCGCCAAGGAGACCCTCAAAAACAAACCTCTCAGATCGTCACTGCCTCCTCCTCCTCCTCGCTAAGGCAGGACGCTAAGGGAGGAGAGGAACAATCCTCAAAGGTGCCTGATTCCCACCAGCTTTGAGCTCAGAGAAAGTGGCTCAATCTTATGCTTGTTAACTCTCTAGCTCCCATATCCAGGTGCTTCTTGGTCTGCCTTTATTTCTATGTCAGTTTGGGTTCCAGTGACATAATGGAGCTGCCAAATTACAGCTGCCAACTATTTCTGATCATGCTTTTTTTTTAATAGACTTCTTATACAAATACATGCACGCACACACATAAACATGCATATATCTCTTTACACAGCTATATTTAATCACTTCATAGTGCACATAAAACACCAAAACAAACATTTGCAAAAGCTGGGGCTAAAGTTCCAGTACAGTGCACACTGCCTAGGGCGATCTCAGAACTGGCAAATTTATGTTGTGAAGAACAAATTGTTAATCTGCATTATTTTTTCTTGCTCAAATTCTTATCTGGATAAGAGGAATTCCTTATAAGAAGAACCATTTCTTAGGTCCCCAGTGAGTTCTCCTTATCAGGTCTGCACTGTATTAGCTCTCACTGACCCAAGCACCATCCCATGTGTAACTGGCTTTTCTTCATCTGTTAACAATCAACATGACATCATCATAATGTGCCATTCCAATAAGCAATTGCTGTCATGTTTCGCCATCTCATATTATCGCCAGAATCTTGGAGCAGGTCAGTGTTCTTTGTCCCTCCCAATCCACATGATAAAGACATTCAGGTATTTATCTTTTTGCTTTCCCCTTGTTCCCCCCCCCTCCCCGCCCCACCCCCTTACTTCACCTAATCTTCCAAGTTCTCGAGTCCGTTCCTTCTCAGACATGTCCAGAAAACCCTGAATGTCTGCATCTAATTTCTCTCTAATCAGTACACGTTTTTTGTGTCTCAAGGACTACCTCACTTGCTTTTCTATCATTCCATTATATTCTTTGTTTTCTTCTCAAATACCACACCTCTGCTGTAAGAGTACTTCTTTTTCTTTACCTTTGTGTTTACCTGCTGTAAACTCTGTTGGAAAGTTCTCATTGTTCGTCCACCTCTAGACTTTATTCTTGTTAAAGAACCTGAGTGCTGTGTGCACATCCGTTTTACAAATCTAGCTTATTTGTATGCAGACTATTCCTTCCTTGCCTTTCAGGCAGATGCACTCTGACTTTAAAAGATGCCACCAATTAGTCGACTCCTATGACATGCTTGTTGGGGAGGCATTAAGTCTCTTCTTGTTTTCTCCTTAATGGGGCCCTGGAGCCAACACAGGGAAAATGTATTTCAGCTTGTCTACTTAATTTCACATAAAATGATACATATGACTGCATTTCTCATGTTTAGTCAGGTAATATTAGTTAGTTAATCTAAGGATTATCTTCACTGCACATCCGACAAGTTCATAAGTGCTCATATTCTATCTTCTATATCCTTCAGTGTGTGGTACTGATAACACCAGTTCAGTACTGGTTTACTATTCTTCTTTGGCTACCTGTATACTGTTAATGTTTGGAGACACCTATTTTGACATGAAGGTCTAGTAGTCTTTTGAGTGTTGCCGATTCAACATCACCTTTAGAATCATCTTTTCATCCTGCCTCTTTAAGAGCACTGAGAATGATGGCTCGGTCCATTGCTTTTCCTATACCTACCATGGCCCTGCCAGAAAGCCAATTCGCTCATTCATTCCGTCTTACTCCAGAGTGTGCTGACACAAAAACTAAACTATTTCCCTTCAGAAGAGATTAGTCAAGGCTTACAAAGCACGTCTGTTTTATTGTTTAAATAATGTCTTATTTTTGTTGCCTGTGAAAGTCATTGCCATCATCATCCTGCTGTGCCATTATATGTCAATCCTTCATTCTATCCTGTGAAATCCCTTCAATATGTCATGGTTAGAATTCAGTCCACCATCTTTGTCCTACCTCAACAATGTTCGTCTCAGGGTGTCTCTTGGATGCCTCTTAAAAGTAATATGAATGTGATGTTGTCATTATTCTGACTTCTCCATTGGCAGCTGCTGCAATTTTCTGGGTCAGTTTAAATATGTGGAAATTAATTCTAAATACCATATTTATCCATGTATAAGACACCTCCATGTATAAGTTGACCCCTAATTTTTTTTAATATAGCCCAAAATTAGAAAATAAATATTTTAAACACATTCCCTGCATAAAATATCCCCAATTGTAAACTCAAATAATTTCAGAAACATACTGTATCATTCATGGAAAAATATGATATTTAAAAAATCAGTACAATTTGAAAAACCAAAAATAAAGAAAACAGTAAAACAAAACAATGCTTACACTGAGTAACAAAAAATTTGCTGTGCTGGATACTGGGGTGACACATACACATACAAGACAACATCTATGTCCATGATGTGCAGCCAGACAAACATGCAAATCCTTTAGTAGATCTCTAGGTCAGTCCCGTGGCTGCTAAGAAAATTCAATACAAAATAGCAACTCAAAACATGAAACATCAAAGGAAAATGCTGGGAAAAACTCAAAGCTTATCACTGTTTTCTGTCCTTTATCCCTCCATGGAGCGGGGATTGGGGGGAGGGGGGGGGGGGAAGGGCCTCTGGAAACATTTGTTTGATCAGTATGATTTGTATTTCCTTTAACTGTTTGTGACTTAGGGATTACAGCCTGGTTTTAAATTACGAAATATCCGATTTGGCAGCAGACCACTTCGCGCTGATTTTGACAATTGTTAGTCATTACTTGTGGTTCCAACTTCACTGCAGATGTGCTTTCCCATAACTGCTCCGTTTCTGTGCCAGTGGAAATCACACAAAATGTCCCTCACCTGTGAAACATATCAGTCCCAGCAAAATCTTGAAGCTTGCACGTGCAAAGTAAATGCATAAGGTGGCCGTTAGGTATGCCAACACTAACAGTCTCATGTCAGAATTGCAGCCCGCTGTTGATGCAAGCAGTCAATCATGAAAGCTGGCATTTATATAAACTGCACCAATAATGATACGGAAAGCTGACCATTACAAAAGAAATAGCAAACTACTGAATTTCAAATTGTCAAGAAAAGCCACAAACAAGCAACAAATTCTGGGGTTTGTTTGTAATTTCCTGTAAAAGATATGCAGCTATTTTTTTTTTTTAAACTGAAAGAAGGGAGCCATTGTAATGTAGTGGCCTGAAGGTCTTGAGTTAAAATCTGCAACAGAGAGATTTGAATAAAAAAAAATTAGCTTGGCTTCCAGATCCTTCCAACCTAAATTGGCTACCAAGTAATGTCCTGGGAAATAAATGGGGCCAGTGTGATACTGACCATATTATCTATTGAGTTTCAATTGGCCTAGAAAAATATAGATCTAAGCAGTGCTTTTCTTTTCAACAGTACTCAGTACCGGCACCTTTTGTTAGGGTATATTTTTTCACAGCTATTGTAATAAATGTTTGATGAGTATTGTCACCATTTTTTAAAAATTAAACTTTGTGGTGAATACAGGTAACTTCTTTTCTATTAAATAAAACAAAAACAACCTGGGTCTAGTAGTATATATCTGATGCACCAAAGGCATGGAAAAAATCCATTATTCATTAACTCCTATGCATAGGTTAAGATAATACCATGAGACAGAAGGAGTTCTTCTTCTTTGCGTTCACCTGCGGTAAACTTTGGCACAAAATTCTAGTTACTCGTCAACTTCTGGAGTTTGGTCATTTTCTACAACTTGAGTGTTGTGTTTACATTCATCCGCCTCCCCTGGGTAAAATATTGCCAACTTTGGGGAAACTAAGATGTAGGCAGAGTATAAATTCACTGGAAAAAACCGGCCACAACATTGATCTCTTGCAAAATATTCACATAACCACATCTCACCAAAACCCAAGAAAGCCATGAGAGCAATGATATAACGCTTGGGTGGAATATACCAAGGTGTGGCCTCCTTCATGGATTTTCCTGTCACATCCATGGATTCATGGCTGAAGGCTGCACCACTGGTGGTTGGTGCATCCTGGCTGTATAACTCAGATGTTGATGTTGCCAAAGGTTGGTGCTCGCTATCCATATTGGAATCTATGATGATAAAAGAAATGGACACTATAATTTATTACAGTCAATGTTTAATGTTGAATTAAGAATCTACATTATAGCACTTGGGACACCCCCATAAGCACATTATCACTATCTTCAGCAGCAAGGTAAGGGTTCCAGTTCCGAAAATCATAATTTTATTTATTGACAAAATGAATTATTAATTTTATACAGAATATGAATATTCATCAGCAAACACAAATGCAGAAGAGAATAACTGGGTCACACCTTTTCTTATATTGAAATACATTTTCCAGTTGTGCCATTATATGTCACAAAGGACTTGCAGTCTATTGCTCCGTTCTGTTCTACTCTGGGTAATCATTTCAATATCATGGATGGGATCCAGTTCAGCCCCTTAGGCCTCTCTCATCAATGATTATTTTAGGGTTCTTTTGGAGCATCCTTACATCTTCCATCCTTACATCTTCCATCCTTACATCTTCCATCCTTACATCTTTCATCCTTACATCTTCCATCCTTACATCTTCCATCCTTGCATCTTCCATCCTTGCATCTTCCATCCTTACATCTTCCATCCTTACATCTTCCATCCTTACATCTTCCATCCTTACATCTTCCACCCCTTCTTTTTCCCATTTCAGTGCCTGCTTAGTGATTCTCTGTTTGATTCTTCTCAGGATGTGTCCAATAAAATGCCATCTTCTTCGACTTGTAACTGTTGTTACCACTGATTGTTACCATAGATTGGGGCTAAACTAGATGGCTAGGACTCACGAGCAGCAGCTTCCGCATCTCCTGCAGCTTTGCTCGTGAGTCCTAGCCATCTAGTTTAGCCCCAATCCATTTCGTGTGAGCGGCGTGGGGGACTCTGCGGTGGGGGTAGTCGCCGGACAACCGCAAATTAAGTGACACGTGACTGAGGCTAGTAAGGATATTTTGCGGCCGCCAAATTTAGTGCCCGTTATTCGGAGGATAGCCTGATGATGATATATATATATACATAGTAGAAGTTCTAATATACTCACTGTACCCTAAAACGCATGCAGTATTAGGTGACTACATGGGGATTTGCTTAACTCATTTGTTGGGCCTCAGACATCCCCACTAGCTGTAAACAACAACAGTGCGACAACAGCAAACTTTTTTTTTTTAAAGGCGAACACATAAGAAGTTCTGCTACTGTGGAATCCACAAAACTCAATTAAACACAAGGCCCTGAAGACGAAATCTGAACATCTACATAAATCTTTAGTAAAAGTGAGTGAAAACATAAAATGATGATCGATGACTACGTCTGCATGTGGTAATATATATTTCATTATTTCCCAACCACATTTGGGATTTAGCAGCTTCTTTAATATCGCATTATCCAGCTATGGTAAGCCTAAATTTTAAGTATTATTTTATCTTATAGTATATAATAGCACTGTTATATACATCTCAACTCATTTAAACTAATTAATACATTTGCAGATGAAGCCATCAAAAATATTACTAATAAATACACAGTGAACAAACCTTCTAAACGTATTGACCAAATGAGAGAAGAGCTGATAATTTATAATTTCAGTAACTATTTCAATATTTGTGGTCAAGTGAAACGGTCAAGTGATTGATTCTCACATCGACAGACTTTGACAGGTTTTAATTAATGTAGGCTCCAGTACGTCAATTTTTAACCTATGTGCACTTTACAGACGGGAACTAACAATCTTGGGAATCTGCTGAACTTGTAGGCGACGTCGACCAGCGGACTCTTGTCTGTGAGCTGTTGTCGTTTGGTGTCGCAGCCGACAAGCTAGCAGAAGCCTTCCACAACAAGGGTTCTAAACTTATGGGGCCTAGATAGAGCCAAAGTTTTGTAGTTAATTTGCTATACAATATTCCTTTGAAGTCTGAGTGTATTTGCTTTAGAGGCGAGGAACCAACAGTCTGCATACACATAAGCTAGATCTATAAAACGAATACACGCAAAACGCAAGTCCTGGAACAAGACCAAAGATTAGAAGTGGATGAACAACCAGAACTTTCCGCCTAAGTGTAAAGCCGGTGAAGTCGAAGAAGAAGACAGCTATACAATTGGTCTTCTTCTTATCGCTCACCGGCTGTCAACTTGGGCGGAAAGTTCTGATTGTTCGTCCACCTCTGTACTTTAATCTTGCTTGTTCCAATATGTAGACATTTGGTTTCTTGCCTCTCTGGCAAATGCACTTAGACTTCGAAGGATGCACCCATTTAGTCGACTCCTACGACGTGTTTGGGAAGGCAGTGGGTCTATTTTTTTCCACCCCCCCCCCCCCCCCCACAATGAGGCCGAAGAGCTCACACGGGAATACAATGTATAGTTATTACAGATATCATTATGTACAGCCTTCTTCTCCTCTTCCACCCCTCCCCACCCCCTTGTCAGACATCTTCCAATGGAGCATAGAGCTTCAATGGGCATCAGCCAAGCCTTTTATGGATTCGCTCATGAATGTTTCGTTTCTGCAGCTAAAGCAGGGGTGAAGTAGCCAGTTGTGTCACGGTTCCATACCCACACCACGTCCATTTTTAGACTGTAAATTATAGCTACAGATGGGCGTGCCCACACATGACTGCAGGCTACGCCGGTCCACCGCCTTCACTAGATAAATTTAGTGGCCGGTCTGATGTAGCCGTTACTGGTCTTGAGCTAATAATAAATAGAGTCGGCCGTGGTTAAGGTCACCATAAGTCCCGTTTTCACGAGGAAAGTCCCGTTTGTTTTAATGTGTTGCAGCCGACCGGTTTTTAGCGCAAAACATTCTGGTCCCCCGATTACTGGTACCATTTTTTTTATTACACTTTGGACGTTGAACGGGATATCAGAGATTTGTCCTATTGGTTTGAAATCTAGACTGAGACTTGTTAATCGCAGGGTGGTAAACCCTTATGTACCATCCCGGGGGAGACAAACCGATTCATCGATGGTCTCAGATAATTTATAATCATTCCTTTCCTGCACTGGACTGCACCTTATCACAACCTTGTATAGCTGACACGGGTGTCCAGATTATTACTTCTTCAGAGATTGAAAATGGTATCTAGGATTTACCCCTTTTATCTACCATCCAGCTAGTGCAGCAAAGCCTAGCATATGATATCACAACGTCTAGTTTGAGGATGGAAGTGGAGGCAGTCAATGCTGCCTTCCGCTGGCTTGAGAATCAGCTGTACACACATTTCGTGATTGTAACTGACTCACAGAGCATGTCGAGAAAGGTGAAAACAATCATGCTTCGTGCAGAGTGACAAGCATCACTTCAGAGGTCCCGGGTGGTTAGCAACCTTTGGATATTTTCTCCAGGGATTCCGGTGTGTTGGGAAATGAGCAGGCAGATAGACTGGCTGGCTCTGCACAACTTGGTGGTGAATTGATGTATGACAAGTTAGATATTATGAGGGCCCTTTGGGAGCGAGTGAACAGTGCGGAGGCGCAGATAGATCATTGCGGTCTAAGGTGAATGGGGCTGTGGGGAGTTACCAGGGGATTGGGCCGACGCTCAACACTCAGGGGAGGGATGAGACGGATTTATAATCAGACGGTTACTGGTACCATCGGATTTGGAACTCTCTGCTTGCTTCTGAAGATGGGGACTGAGCACTTTTGGGAGTGTCCCGAGTGCTGTGATGACGATTCTTATTCAACATTCAACATCTACCATCCACACACTATGAATTAATCAAGAACTGACATCATTGCACTAGGGACATTCTCACGCTTGCTCCGCCTCCTTCTTCAGTAGCCAAAGAAAAGTCGCCATACTAATAGTACTAGTTGCAACCTGATTCAAAGTCAGCATTTGTTTCCCTCTCAATGTTGAATTTCGGTACACGTAACGTTTATCTTCTCATACCCCGCCCATGCACACACTAGGTCACTTCTGATTGGTAGTTCCTGAACCTGTCATCTTGGCACAAGGTCAAGGGGGTGTTCGGCGCTGCCGATGCTATCGCGTGGTGTATATTTCAGCAATCTAGTGCTTTCGACGCTCTAAAAACATGGAGCAACTGTCCCTAACACAAGCCCCTAGGGCCTAGAGAGTGCTGCAATCTATGTCACGGGAATTCTCTTTCTCTGAATGACAACGTATATGTAAGACAACACAGAAAGCAAACAATGGAGCGGGACACACCTGTAACCTTCAGGAAAGTCGACCAGCCCAACAAACTTGTAAATGAAAAGCGATCTACTCTGTTTGGAGAGATTTGCGTAAAGTTAGCCTAAATTTCTTTTAGAACCTCTGCTCCCCCACCCCCGCCCCTTTTTCCTTCCACTAAACCAGTCTTTCAATGCATGGATTCTCTCTCAGCATCTATCCATTTGATCCCACCCACGCGCCGCAGAATAATCCGTTTCCATGCCTTTTAGGCGTATTGGGTATATAGACCTAGACCTATATTTTATAGACCAAGATGTGATTGTCAATTTGTCGGCATCTTTTACTTCCCAGAACTGTACCTGGTACCCACTCAAGACTGGGTGGACCTAGGAGTCAAGGTCATTTTTATTTCAAAAAATCTGGCCTCACATGTATTGAGTACGTATTAGCTTTTATTTGATTAATTGCTTGTGTTAACAGTTGTCATGGTAACGCATTTTGTCCAACCATTTTTATAGTTTTGTTTAAGATATTCCCCCCCCCCCCTTTTTTGCGATCACCCTTATAATGACTGTTTCTATGCCGTGTAAACGTTTGTAGCTGTGAATTCTGCGCCTAACACTGTCGATTGTTAGGCATTTGGGAATCTAACCGACGCTTAACAGCCAACGGAAAGGCGAGACGGATGTGCAATCAGACCGTTACTGGTGCTATCAGAAGTGGGACTTTTCGCTTGCTGCCCAAGATGAAGACGGAGCGCTTATGGGAGTGTCTCGAGTGCTGTGATGTCGATTCTTAATTCAACATTCAACGTACATCACATATAGTAATTACCATCCCCGTGTGGCCTCCGGGGCCCCATTGTGGAGGAAAACAAAAATAGACC